TCAATCTTTGTCCTTTTACAAGGATGGGGTAGGTCAGGACTCTCTTGCCTGAGATACTCATGTGGGCCCAGGAACTTGTGGAGCAATACTAGTGTATGATGGTGAGGCACTGGCAGGGAGGGTTAGGCATGGCTTTGTTAATTTTGTGCAAGGTCTTGAGGGAATTTACCAAGGTTTTATGGAAGGGCCTGAAAATACTGTAGGTTTGACTAGAGTACTAAGCCTAGTTTTGTAGCATGTCTCTTCCCAATAAGATTGAACCATGGGTAGCTGTGACTCCCATGGCTACTTTGTCTTGAAGAAAGTTGTGAAACCACAAGCCTGAATTTGGTCTAGAAAGGGGTGGGCTCTACTCTCAAAAGCTCTCATCTTATATAGCAGACTTAAAACTGTAGTAGTCACTATTGCCTGACTAACGTGGCATCTGTTCCTGCCTACTCCTGTTAGCCCATCTTCCCCAAATGCACTTTAAAAGTATACAACACATGGTTTGAGTAGGAGTTAGGAACTCAAGACACATCAACACAGGTCTACTGGAAGGTTTCTTGAAATGTGACTTGTATATCTATAACTGAAGGTACATTGCCTATTTTGATGTATGAGAATTTTGCTGAATTGTCCACTTAAGAATTGGCAGCCACCTTGGGGCTGCGTTAGGACCATGTTTCTAGTCAGATCTCTAGAGAGAATGGAAGAATGGAAAGGACCTGCATCTGGGTTGGTTCTACTCTGAAACAGCTCTCAGTAATTAACACCAGAAGATAAGTATAGAAAATGCCCACCATTTAATCTCAAAACCCAGCTAGTACTTTGTAAAAGCAAATGAACTAATGGTGAAACAGTTTTTTAAATGCTGCCTTAATCTAGTTGTACCTATCAAAGACTATTCTACAAAGCTCGTGGTACAAGAGGAGGAATAAGGCTATGTTCCCTGCTTCAATGCCAGGACACAGCTGTGCTAGCAGACTGATTACTAAAGTAAATGGCACAGCCAGTGAGTACTCTAAATTTCTCAGTTTCTTCAAGGTCGTTTTGAGCCTATTTTAACTCATGAAATAGTTACTTGAATCTTTTGTGTAAATATTTCTCAGGTAAAGTTAGATTTTGTACACTTACTCCATAGTTCTGTTCTCAAAAACCTAGTGACAAGATGATGCAAATAAAGGACTGGAAGTCATTGCAGGGGCAAACCAGGGACTCAAGTGAGCAGGGGAATGCTGATAAAGGGAGAAGCTATGTCTAGAGTAAGACATGTGTGCACTGAGGACTGTGTAGTAGGAAAACTGAAGGCTGGTTTGTGTGGACTCAAAGGGCAAACCACTCGATCCTGCCCACTCTGGCTATCCACTTTAGCACAAGCTAAAGGGGTATGGCCTTGTGGCAAGGGAACACAAGTAGACACAGCATTGGCACATAGAAGCGTTGTGGGTAATCTGAGGGACCTCAACAAATCAAAACTGCAGCTGAGTCGAGTCCTAGTCAATCTTATAAAATGGATTCGCTTGTCCCTGTAATGAGTTCACTTTGTCTTAACTGCTCACTGCTTTGAGGAACAGAGCCAACAGCAGCAAGTAATATATAGATGGCAATGGGTATTCATCTCTGAACTAAGCATTCTTCTATTTTGCCAGTGTTTGTGCTGGCCTAGCCTGTTGACCTGGATTAGTGACCCAGAGAAGACGCGTGAGTGTTCTGAGCACCTGGATCTTGATAATTCTCAGAGCAGGTTATTGTAATAACCTTTTTTTGACAGGCAGAGTGGACAGTGAGACAGAAAGGTCTTTTTGCTGTTGGTCCACCCTCCAATGGCCGGCGCGCTGCGGCCGGTGCACCGCGCTGATCTGATGGCAGGAGCCAGGTACTTATCCTGGTCTCCCATGGGATGCAGAGTCCAAGTACTTGGGCCATCCTCCACTGCACTCCCTGGCCACAGCAGAGAGCTGGCCTGGAAGAGGGGCAAGCAGGACAGAATCCGGCGCCCCGATGGACTAGAACCCGGTGTGCCGGCGCTGCAAGGTGGAGGATTAGCCTATTGAGCCACGGCACCGGCCATAATAACCTCTTAAACTACCTATGATTGTAGCAAGATGAGCATCAGAACTACACAAACTCAAACTTAACTTGGCTATGGGTTGACCCATGGTGACGAAGTATGTTTCCCTTGCTGGTAGAAAAACTATTCTTGGCTGGCTTACTGGTAGGAAACACTTGAGTGAACATTAAACCTTCAGTTTCCATGGAACCCAATCCATGTATTCTGCTAACAGTTGCTGCCTACAACTTAATACATTATCCCTCTTAGTAGTTTTTTTGTCTGTTCTACTTAATATGACTGGTTTAGATCTGTAATTGATGCACAGTTATTCTTAAGTGTTGAAAATTAACTGAAATGTGATCCCTGTTGAACATGGTGGTGGGAATGGGAGAGGGAAGAGATGTATAATTTGGGACATGCTCAGGCTGACTTGCCCCAAGTGGTGGAGTTGGAAGCATACCAGGGGATTCCAATTCAATCCCATCGAGGTGGCATGTACCAATGCCATCTCACTGTTCCAGGTGATCAGTTTCAGTTCACAGTTGGTCATGGTGAAGGGACTGGGAGTCAAAGGGAGCACATAGACAAGTCTAGTACCTGCTAACGCTAACTGATGGAGTAAATAAAGGGGAGAGTGATCCAACATGGGAAGTGAGATTCTCAGCAGACTCATAGAATGGCAGATGTCCTAAACAGCACTCTGGCCTCAGAATCAGCCCTGAAGGCATTCGGAGCTGGCTGAAAAGCTCATGAGAGTATTTCAGGCATGGAAAGCCAAGACACTCTGGCAAAAGATCTCTGCGAGTGAGATCCCAGTGGAAAGAACAGGTCATCAAAGAAGGAGGTACCTTTCTCTGAAGGGAGGAGAGAACCTCCACTTTGACTATGACCTTGTCTAAACAAGATAAGAATCGGAGAACTCAGAGGGCTTCCATAGCCTTGGAAACTCATGACTGGAGCATAGGGAGACTACTGATGCCATAAACAGGAGTGTCAATTTGTAAAGTCAACAACAGGAGTCACTGTGCACTTACTCCTCATGTAGGATCTCTGTCCTTAATGTGCTGTACATTGAGATTTAATGTTATAACGAGTACTCAAACAATATATTTCACTTTGTGTTTCTATGGGGGTGCAAACTGTTGAAATCCTTACTTAATGCATACTAAACTGATCCTCTGTTAAAAAAAAATTATCAATTCCCAACTTGACTCTCACTGGGATTAAACATGACAATAGGTCTGCTCTGATTTCATCATCATTTAAAAAAATCATCTATTTTTCACTTTATGTTTCTGTGTGGGAGCAAACTGTTGAAATCCATACTTAATGTATACTAAGCTGATCTTTATATTAAGATAATCGAAAATGAATCTTGATGTGAATGGAAGGGGAGAGGGAGTGGGAAAGGGGAGGGTTGTGGGTGGGAGGGACGGTATTGGGGGGGAAGCCATTGTAATCCATAAGTCGTACTTTGGAAATTTATATTCATTAAATAAAAGTTGAAAAAATAATAAAAAAAATAAAATAAAATCTTAAAAAAAAAACCAGTGCTGTAGGTGAGTAAGACTTGGAAAATCTGGAGGCTGAGTGACCTTCTTGGCTTACTCACCTGCAGAGAAAGGACTTCATGAACTCATCCTCTAATTGTTTTCAAGTAGCTTGCTAGGAATTTCTGGATGTTTGACTTGCTCAGTGGAGGGAAGAAGTACTTTATTACTTTAGCCCATAGCATATCACATGACTCTAGGAATAGGGTTCAGCACAAGGACTGAGTTAGTAACCTGAGGATGCCTCTGCCTTTTCAGGTTCTAACAAAGCCAGAGATACTGGCACGCTCTAGGGCCACTGCCTGGGGTCGAGTCTAGAGAGTAGTAGATGCTTGGGTGTAAAGCGACCAGCTGAAAGCATGATCTGCCTGTGTGGAATGACTGCAGGCCATATGGAAGTTTTTCTTACACAGGTGCTAGCTGAGAGTAGGAACAAAGGCTACCCAGGAGTTGGCAGTAAGCATTAGTATAGTCTCTGTAAGGTAGACCATGAGAATCTGAATAGAAATTCATAGCTGAGTAAAGCTCTATAACATAAAGGTGTAAGGTGGGGGGAGTAAGAACAAGGATGTACTATTAGCAATGTGGGTGGATAGTGCTGAGTGGCAGTACAAAGTGATAGTATTAGTATAGGTCAAGTGCATTTACCCAGCAAGACCCAAGGGTGCAAGGTGTATTGACGCCTTTTCACAACATCGGATCTTGGCCACAGCTAGTGTCTCCGGGCATGTGTACTCCCAAGGGGTGGTTGCAAATAGTGATAAAAGTGCTGGTTATGGACATGATGAGCTGCTGTTACTAAGCTCCAATATGGTTGAAAGTTGATGTTGGCAGAATAGCCTTGATGGGGGTGCCACTGAATCCTGAAAAACACTGATATTTCCTTCACTGGAACTGTCACTGTATATTAGTAACTTTAAGTGAGAACTTAGCTGTGTGCGTGTGTTGCCCAGAGACTAAGACTCAAGTGTTGCCAGGGGAAGGCAGTGAAGAAACGGGGAGGCAAGGCAAGGGGGTGTGGGAATCTGCTAGTCTTGGGCAAATACAGTGCACTGCAGACTTACTGATTGAGCGAAGGGTTGCTGATAGACTAGACGGGAAAATTCCAACAATCACTTAATGGTTGCTTGTTACTGGGGGTAGTTGTGTAGCTCTCAAGTGCTGGAGACAGTTCTGTGTGCAGATAAAAAGGTTCAAGGGCTGTGTTACAGAAGACATGCTGATGTTGCACTTTTGTGACAAAGGAAGGCTAGGGCCATGGAGAGAATGAAACATGGACAACAATCAACTTTATGGGTATGGCCTCACTGGTCACTATTACATAGGCTGGGAAAGAAAAAGGCAACAGATAGCGGAGTTCTGCTTGCCTGTTGCTTCGAATCTACCTTAGCATAGGCTCATAGCAAAGAGTGAGATCCATGACTTGTAGACTCCCCTTTAGACTTTATCCCCATAATAAAGTGCTTTGCATGTACCCCTCACTCTCAATGCTGGGTCACATATGTGAAGAGTTACTGGGAGTACCCAGGAGGTGGGAGACAACTCCAGAAGGAGCCTGTATAAAGTTAGACTTTCCAAGTCGTAGAACTCTGACTATAATTCCTGGGTTTGGCACATAGCTTGTTGATGCAGGGATCCAGTTCCACTTTCCCAGTGGAACTTAGATAAGAGAATATCTGAAGACAGGGTTCCACTGCTGGGAACCTGTATACCTGGCTCTGCGTCACGTGATCTACGTTGGCCCAGGTTGCTGCTACTGTAGGTAAATGAATTGTATGTGTAAATAACTGAGGATGGATAGGTTTACCTAGAAGACCTCAAATGCAGACATGAAGGTGCTTATCAGAATTCTCAGGGGACCAAACCTGTGACAGGGCAGGACAGCAGGATGGACACGGGGGCCAGGTGACCTGTGACAGTCTCCCAAAGTAACATTGGGCACCCCTGGGGTAGCTGTGTTCCTGAGTCCAGAGATGCTCATCCTGGCGGTGGCTGGGGTCATGGCAGTGTGCACACCTGTGCTCACTAAGCTGCAGTGCTCTTCTAAAGGACTATCTTCAGGCCAGAGTCTGGGTACTCGTGCTCTGTTAACCTCACCTAGTGAAGTCAGGATGGACTTGGGCTGTGTGGGGGTGGGGTGGGGTCCAGGGAACTTGTGGAAGCCAGGACGGGGGCAGAAGTAGCTGCTGGGGCTGGAGTCCGTGTGCTTGCAGGTGACCCCACCAGGGCCACGGAATCTGGGGCGTACTGATGCCAAGATGGGCTGGGCCCATGTAATTTTTTGAAGTCTGAATTCTAAAGCAGTGGATCAGTGGGCTGGAGTTCTGAAGCCCTTGTCAAATACAAAGGCATGGAGAAGGTGTGACTGACCCTATTACAGGGTATGGGCGTGTACTTCCCTAGTTGAAGTGATAGGAGGGCTGTGCAGCAACCAAGGTCCTGCAGTACTACCTTCCCTGATGTGCTAACCCACCTGTCCTGAGTATGGGGGGTAGTGACTAGTGTATGGAAATGCCACTGACCTTAGTCTTAACTTGAGTCCTCAGTGTTTCTTGGAGTGAGTTCTTCAGCCCTTCGCATGTAAGATCACTTTATCTGCAGATGGTAACCACCTCTACTTCTACCCTGTCAGCTTTTACTTCTAACCTGATTGCTCTAGCTATGACATGAAGTCCTGCTTATCAGAAGCAGTGACTGTGGGCGTTCTTGTGAGAAAAAGGCTTCGATTGGATGGTATTATCTTGGAATTTATCACATAGAGCCTGACTGAGTTCAAGTGTCTGCCTTCTTTACCTGACTTAGGAATTTCAATGTCCTTTCGTGGTAATAATTCTAAAGCGGTTTTCTGTTGGAAATGACCAAAGGTTGTATAAATGGAATGCAGCATCTAGAAATTCTCTAATCCAAGACTAGGTGGCTTGGTTCTTAAGACTTCGTTCTCTGCCTTGGTTAGAGGTACATCTTGGCTCCAGGATTCTGTGATGTAATTCAACCCTTAACCTTTGCTTGTACTGCTTTACCTGACAAGCCTCTGCAAGGAAGAGCTCAGCCAGTCTGCCTGGTTTGGGAGGCAGCTTTGTTAGAAACCTCCATTTGGAGGTTACTCAGGTTAGGGTAGCCCTCGGGTAGGACTAGTCTTGTATCTTGATATGATCCGTACCAAGGGGTACGGATCCAAAGTGACTCCACTATGAGGGGACAGGCTTGAAATACTGTTGGTCTCTAAGCCTTTGCCGGGTGCTAACTGCCTACACAGGCTCCTGTTTCTTGGAATGAGAGCTAGTATGGTGGGGGGTGCTAACCAGTGACAGCTGTGTGAAGATGCCAGAGTGACCATTCCTCGGATCAGTGACAGGAAGACTGATGCTCAATGATAGCAGCCTCCTAAACAGTAAAGCTTACTACACTGCACAGTATAACTTAACAGGCAGCTCCAAGTGCTGTGGCTTAAATCCTTCAGGATTTGAGATAGCTATCAGATCCCTCTCAGATGAGCCCCTTCTATCACCCTGAACTCACCCATGACTATTCTGATGCTTATGTAGTAGGTCCCTAAATCCAGTGTCTCCATACCATGATACATAAAAAAGGACAAGTGATAGGACTCCATGAACAGAGAGCCTAGCTTATGTGGAACAGGGAGCCCAGCAGACCCCCTGGTGGTGGCTCTTGTTTGCAGGTGTTCAGTCTATGCTAATCCTCTTCCTTTGAAGACAGAAGCAGTGAGTTTGTTCTTGAGGTATTAAGGGAAAGCAGAGTGTCATTTGCAAGACGAGGTTAGACTGGCTTTTATCTTGAAGTTCTTTGTCTTTGACAAACTTGGGCAGGGGGTAGAAGCATGTTGTCACTGAATAGTGGGGCTCAGGTGTTAGAGCAACGAACAGACCCTCAGTACAACAGGTTGCGAGGACTTGAAGCTTACCATCAACTGTAAAGGAACATGGAGGGTGACTACTTTGAGGTCTGACAGCTGCAATATGGGTTTACTTGGAAGTGGATCCCTCTTTTGTCCCTTTTGGTTTTGAACTGAGAACATAACCTGGCCCTCAGCTTAACAGTAACCTAATGAGGCATGAGCCAGAGAAGTATTTAGAGGAACTACACTGTTTCTGACCCCTAGAAACAGATACAGGTGTTTGCTGTTCCGACAGAGCTAAATTTGGAGAAAGTTTTCACTAGATAATCTGTCTACACAATTACTCCATTGCTAAGCAAGAATGACAACTACATTACATGATAAATAGCTACATCAAAGCAGAAAATAGTGACTTTGAGAAACTCAAATTTCGAGGCAGAAGTCGGGTTAGGTGGTAGACCCGGGGTAGCCTTCAGAAAGGGTTGGTTTGTTCAATGCAGAAACTTAAATTTGTTACCTTCTGTGGGAAGCCCATTGATTAGGTATGTTTCTGATAAGTTTTAAAGTGCTAGCCATACTTCCCTGTCTTAATTTTATTAAGGGCTATAAGCATCCAGAAGTGAATATGATGCAATGATATGTGTCCTAATGTGAAGAACTTGGATTCACTGCATTGTTCTCCTTCACAGTGGCCTCCAAGTCACAGGCAGTGATTCCATGTTACTTCCTCTTACTACACACTGTAGGTTTCTGAATCGGTATCTAGCCCTTAGTGATGTTTACAAAGCAAATACATCTTTAAGACACTTGAAAGATGGCTACAGGGAGGTAGAGGCAGAGGGGTCTTCCATCTGCTGGTTCTCCCCCAAATGGCCATAATGACCAGAGCTGGGCCAATCTGGAGCCAAGAGCTGCTAGGTCTCCCACATGGGTGCAGGAGCCCAAGGACCTGGGCCATCCTCCACTGCTTTCCCAGGACATAGTAGAGAGCTGGATCGGAAGAGGAGCAGCTGGGACTCAAACCAGCACCTGTATGGGTTGCCAGGACTGCAGGTGGTGGCTTTACCTGCTACGCCACAGTGCCAGCCCCAAATACTGTTCCAGTCCATGATTTAAAGTAAGCATATTGTTCCATAAGGATTTTTCTCAAAATTGAGTCACAATATCAAAGTCGGTTTCTCAGTTGGCTTTCCTAGGTGTTGAAGGAGAAACCTATCCCTGCTTTGGTTTTCTCCAGAATGGGTTTTGATCTGTTTTTGGCAGAGGATACCACTGAGAGGAAAATGTTTACCCATGCTTTTCTATGCTAACTTCCCTGTTCAATGACCCATGATTCCTTCTATAAGAACACGGGAGTTACTTGACCAAAGAAATGTGGGCCTAGGCTTTGAAAACAGGAATAAGGTGGGTATGTCAAAGCAAGGTGGGCATACCCAGGCTATGCTACAACAGCCACAGATGGAGTTGCACCCTTCTCTGATAATGAAAATCACCCTGAGCATAGGGGACTGCTCAACTGCCTGTGTTAGACATTGAATTACTTAACGTTTGCTATCTTAGTACCTATTTAATGTAAAAACAGAATTTGAGGTTCTTGAATCTAGTTGTGCTCGCATTCAAGTTGCAGTGGGTTTCAACTGTTATAACTCTGACTTCAACTGAGAATACACTTGCCCAGGTAGTGAATCCTTGCCTACTGCTGAGGGATGTTAGGACTAGTTGACAAACTGTTCTCTCCTGAAATACTGATGCTGTTCTTGAACTGATATGTCCCCCAAAGGAACAGTATCAACAAAGCATACTGGTTATGTGATCTTACTTGATTTGCATTAGATTGGGCAATGACTGTAAACTAAAAATTGACCATTGTCCCCAAAGATAACTGCTAGAGGATATCAGCCAGTGGCAGTGGCAGGTCTGGTCAACTGGTAGACCCAGCATCTGAACAGGTGCAGTAGTCACTTGTTGTTCACACTTAATATTCTAGACATCTTTAATACAGAAAACAGACCTTACACATTCCATAGGTACATTTCCAAGGTGACCACTCTTCCTGTTCCCCTCCCTCTTGATGAGTTTTTTCAAAGCCAGTTTAATTGACTCTACTCATAGACTTAATATGCCACTCATAATAACCAGTAAGCAAAAACTAGGACTACAGGTACTAAGGAGTATTAAACAAGGGATAAAAATAATCACATCCCAAAATGACCACTGCATTCCTATGTTTTTTGGTATTCTATGTTAACTGCCATACATCAGAAAACAGTTGTCTTGGGATTGGCTAATTTGACCTAAGCATAATCGTTTCCAGTTGCATCCATTTTGTTGCAAAAGACAGGATTTCATTCTTTAGCGGCTGAGTCATATTGCATGGGGTACATACATATACACGTATTCCACGCCCAGTCATCAGCTGATCCTCTGGGCTGACTGAGTATCTTAAGTGAATTGAACTGCAAAAATGGGACAAATAGCTTTGATTTGTGTGTGGGTAAATTCCCAGGAGTGGGATTGCTGGATCACATGATGAATCCATTTTCAGATCGCTGAGGAATCTCCATACTGTCTTCTATAATGGTGCCGCGGTTAATTCTGTGGCAGCCACCACAGATGGGGAGCTCTTGGTCCAGAGTGGGGAGGACTCTAAAGTAGTATTATCTCTATCCCCTCATAACCAGGGGAGTATCAGGGTGCTCAACCTGTGGAGAGAATGGAGGGTCAAAGTGCACACCATGAAGTAACAATTTTCCATGATAGCTCTGTGTAGTATAACTGCTTTGGACATACAGTTCTTGAGAAACACTTAGCATCAGTGTAGAGCACAAATGTTTGCCTAATGGGTAACTGCTAGATGACTCAAAAGCAAAATTGCTTAATCAGGAGATTAGGACCTTAAGAGCTCATGTTGGGTTCCATTGCTTACAACTTGAGTATCTGTCAGGTAAGTTCCAGAGAAATAAGGCTTACACTGTCTCTGGCCTACAAGGACTAAGATTTCTCTACAAACTCAATCATCTTTCTCTATAGAGGAGGGTTTTGCTGAACTAGACTTCATACCTATAAGATAAATGCCTCTTGGGCAAATTCCAGCTAGGCTAGAGAACAGGTTAAGATGTCTGGTCCAAGTGGAGAGGAGGCAGAAGCAAAGGTGGTGTTAATGTTGCCCCGTTACTATTTCCTGCTTAGGGAGGTCTAGGATCCACTTAACTACAGGTACTGTGCCTGTTCCTTGGAGCCATCTGTGGTGGAGGTGGGGTGGGGGAAAATCTTACTAGATGAAGGGTACACCCTGGTAGGGAATATGGGCTTTCTATGATGCATGAACTAGGTTTCTAGATGTAGCTTGGGACTCAGACTTCGGATGGCTGGGATTATAATCCAATTCATGTTTCACAATAATTGAGTCATCCTAGAAAAGTTCTGCATAATAGGCCATGAGCAGGGAAGAAAAGCATGTGTCTCCTCTTGCTCTACCCCATGTGAACTGTCCTACCCTGGATCCTCTCTAGACCACTACCACTCACCTAAGGCTTTTGGCTATGCAGTCTTCAGCATTTTCGTTACTAAGGTCCACTTCTGCATGCTGACCCACCTTGGGTGTTTATACATAACAGTAGTGTACATCAAGTTGGGGCTTAACACCTCTCAGGTTTCAACTTGGGGTGGCTTAAGTGCCTTCTCATGAGCACCTGAAGAGCCACCCTACTTGTTTGACAATGGGTTGCCCACTTTGATCCCCCCAGAATGTCACAGGGATGGATCACGTCTTTGCAAGACACTCCAGAATTGTATGTTCTCAAGGTGGAAACGGATGCTCACTTGTAAATCTGGGAAGTTATGGCACCAAGACAGTGGTCCTGTAAGAACCTTAGATGCTTTCTTATAGCCCGTGGATAGCTATGAAAGGGTTAAATGTGGTACAAACTGTATACAAGTGTTTCATGTAAACAGTCAATTTTTAGAAAGCATTCTTGGCATTTCATTGAATTCGAAGTTTGTGGTAGGGGCTGTAGATGTAGATTGCCCTTCTGAGTGTCAGTCCTGGCAGGAGTCAGTGGTTACTTGAATAGGGCAGCAACACTGAAAGGATGTTCAGGGGATCTAATAGGGGGCACAAAGCAGGTTATCCAGTCCCCATGTGCAAGGACAGCCATTCTTTAAAGGACACAGGGAGAGCTGTGCAGGGAGGGGGACTGTATTCCTTAAATGATTCCTCACAGTAATGATAGCTTTCGTTTCCTTTAAGTCTCAAGTCCTTAAGAACAGTAGGCCCTTCTGTTTTATGAAATATAGTGTGCAAACACCACTTTACCATTGTAGCAACAGTGATGGGCATAGTGACAGGAATCTGAGGAAAGCAAAATTGTAACCCAAAACCATAAGACACTAAACACAAGTGTTTCTAATATAATGCAGTACAACCATAGTACATGGTGTTTAGGCTATACTCACATGATTGAGACAAATGAATCTGAGATAGTATAAAGAGAATGAAAGCTAGAACTTGGTATTGTTAAGACCTTGGAAGTCTGCAGTGCCCCACAGGTTAATTCTGTGCTGCTTCCAAGTACTAACCTGGCACGACTGTGCTTAACTCCCAAGATTGAATGAGATCGAGTATATTCAGTAGTATGGCTGGTAGAATGCTGGATAAATTCTGTGACTAGTATTAACTCAGCTTGTGCTGGAGGGATCTTAACTATCATCACCATGCTGCTGGTTTCATTCCAGTCCATGTGTCCTTCCCACCTTTAACAAGAAAGCTGCCTGCTTCAGTAGGGGGTCTTATCAAGACTGTATGCCCAACATCCCAGGAGGATATGTCTAATACATTAGGAAGCAGGCATTGATAACTGAAAGTGACCTTATGGATATCTAAAAACAAAATACTACAAACTTAAAGCATGGCAACAAAACTGACTTGCACATGACCCTGAGGTAATGTTCCTTGCAACATCCTTGAGTGGTGTGCTTAGTGTTAAGTGATGAAATTTATTAGGGGTTAAACAAGACATACACTGTGCTACCTAATGCAGCTTGCTGTCCGTAAACTCAAAAGAACTGAAACCAGGGGCATGTTAGCGTCTCTAAAACTAACAGTATTTTAGGGTAGTGTCGTAGGGAAATGGCTGTTTTCCTCGTATTTGACTTTAGACATTGGTACCATCCAAGTACAAAGTAGGCACACTATTGAAATGAAGCATAAGTTCAATCGGACTTGCCCCAAACAGAGCTAGAAACATGCCAGGGGATTCCAATTCAATCCTATCAAGGTGGCATGTACCAAAGCCATCTCACTAGCCCAAGTGATCAATTTCAGTTCACAATTGATCACACTGATAGGTCTAAGAGTCAAAGGGATCACACAAGACTAGTGTCTGCTCATCCTAACTGATAGAATAAAAAAGGAGAGAACAATCCAACATGGGAAGCGAGATACACAGCAGACTCATAGAATGGCAGATGTCCTAAACAGCATTCTGGCCTCAGAATCAGCCCTTAAGGCATTTGGATCTGGCTAAAGCACCCATGAGAGTATTTCAAGCATGGAAAGCCGACAGACTCTGGCAAAACTAAATGAAAGATCTCAGCAAGTGAGATCCCAGTGGAAAGAATGGACCATCAAAGGAGGGGGAGGTACCTTTCTCTGAAGGGAGGAGAGAGCTTCCACTTTGACTATGACCCTGTTGGAATAAGATCGAAGTCGGCAAACTCAAGAGGCTTCCATAGCCTTAGCAGCTCATAACAATAGTCTCAGGTGATTACTGACGCCATAAACAAGTGTCAATTTGTAACAGGAGTCACTGTGCCCTCATAATGTAGGATCTCTGTCCTTAATGTGGTGTTCAATGTGAATTAATGCTAAGACTAGTGCTCAAACAGTACTTTACACTTTGTGTTCTGTGTGGGGGAAAACTGTTAATCTTCGTGTATACTAAATTGATCTGTATAAATAGAATTAAATCTTGATGTGAATGGAATGAGAGAGTGGGAGATGGGAAGGAAGCTATGGGGTGAAAAGCCATTGTAATCCATAAACTGTACTTTGGAAACTTAGTTACTAAATAAGTTAAAAACTGAGGACTATACTCGCCATGCTTTATGAAGCAGTGGAAGTATATAAACACAACATACAAAGATTAATAAACTGCAGATGTTAGAGTGTGCTCAGGGACTGTGCATCCTCAGACCAGCCCTTCCATCACTGCAGTAAGTGCTGGCCTAGTCCTTTGTGCTTCTGTCTGAACTGAGAGTGCTCAAGTTTGGTAAACTACTTCAATTTATAACTTTAATGTTGATATGAATTTGAAGATTTATTTGGCGAGAAATTGCATCTTTATACTTTCACCTTTATGAGCATAGTATACCTCATTTTTGAGGTCTTGCTCATATGTAAATATTCTACATATTATATATGAACTATGTATACCCTTTAAATAGCTTCTTTGGCTCTTTATGTAAAATTTCTACCTTAGTTTTTACGCCATGGAAATTGTTTTTTCTCAAGATTTTGAACCGTTTATTTCTGTTTCTAATACTGATTTTTATGTTCACTTTTATCCAGCAATCTTAACTCCCAATTCCAGTAATTTGTATGTAGATCTTCCTGAATGTCCTAATTCAGCTTTTTTCAAGATGCTCCTTTTCTCCTGTGAGCTTGATAGGACAACAGTCAACTTCCCCGTTTCAATGCCATAACACATGGCTGTCCTAATGGAGACTAGTCACTTAGGGCATTTTGAGCTGTGCTGTTTGCTTTTTGCCTGAGCCTTGAAAGTTACCCCTTTTTGTGTTCAAAAATTCAAGTTTTGGGCCCGTTTAAACTCAACTACTTACAGTTTGAGTAAAACTCAACTTCCAAGTAAAATCGGTGAAATTTATTCTGCAGAGAACCAGAAGATTTTGGGCTTAAGTGATGGACTGGGAGGTGATTGTGGGAGCAAACGTGGGAGATGTGGAAAGGCAAGTAGAGAAAGTGGTGCATAGTGAGCCCTGTAGAGGACAAGTCCCAACTTGGCTGAGGATCCTGTGATTGGGCAACTCTGAGGAATAGTGTGTATGGGCAAGCCTCGACCTTCTCTGAGCAGACACTTGTAGCCTACCATGCAACCAGCTAAGCATGGTCTTAATGGCAGGGGGAAAACTGGCAGACAAAGGCGTTGGCACATTAAGAGTAGTGAGAATCCAGTTACAGTGGGGTTGAGTGGTACTCGTTCCACATCTCATGATGGACCCACTGTCATTTGTCGTTTACTTTGTTACCTGAGTTTATAACCACCGTGGAAATCCCATTTAGAGAGTGCTGAGCTCATAGCTACAAGTACTGTGCTAGATGCGAATGAGTGTTTATCCACCATATCAGATTCTCCTTATTCTCTGCTGGTGTCTGATCTAGATAGTTGACCCAGAAGGGTGATCCCAACACCATCAATGAGCACATTGAGCAGCTGGATATTTGCCTTCCTCAGAAAAGGGTTCCTGGAGTAACTACTTCTGAACATCAGGTAGCAAAAGCATGCCCACCAGTAATGGCATAAACTCAGCCATACTCAATCTTACACTAGAAACATTTACCCATGGTGACAAAATACATTGCCTGTTCATGTAGAGTGACTCTTTGATGGCATACTGTCATGAAGCTCATAATCGAAATCTTCAGCTTCTTTGGAACCTGTCCTGCTTGTCCTGGTGGCATTTGCTTCCCGGGAGAAGGTGGGTGGTTGGATTCATACAACTTTAGCCACTATGAGACTAGAGAATATGTAATACCTCTAAGTATCAAGGTAAAATGATGAGTTTATCACTGTCACCCTTGGGTATTGGCTTTTACAGGGGAAAATACATAATGGCTGTCCTTAGGATATCTGATGGTTTGATAGTTACTCTGAGAAGTGAACTACATAACATCACCAGCTTAAGGACAAATCCACTAGGACTCAATACTGCATTGGTTAGAGAAATCTGATGGTGAAAGACCATTGGATCCTTGGGGCTTGCTGCTGGACTTTGAGAAACTTCTCAGCTGGACTAATTGGTCTGGTAGTGATCAGTCTTTTAGCCACTTGCATACAAGTCCAGAGTTGGAGGTAGATGTCAAGGGCAGCAGTAAGTTCAGATTTTCATCTGTATAGAATTATGACCCTACTCTGGGAAAAGAATGAGGGACAAGGGCTGACCCTGTATCTTTAGGATGCTTCTCACACCTCTGACGTAGTTGCAGGTAAGAGGGCATGCTTTCTAGGACCACTTTTGTGGTTAGTCCAGAGAATATTAGAGGGTGCCTAGATGCAAACTGACAAGATGTTAGCATCTGCCTGTGTGGGATGACCTCAGGTACACTGAAGAATGTTAGGTGCTATCGAAGACCTTGGGAGCTGTGACTACTCGGTAGTTGGGAGTACCAGTGTTGGCATCTCCAAGTGTCCTTCATTGACTAGAATCTACAGCCATGTAAAACTCTGCAGGGTGTGGTGAGGATGTTAGGGGGGAGCATGAGCGTGTACAATAAATAGTCCTGTGGTTGGTAAGTATAGCTTGACACAGCAGAGGCCCTTGGAAACAGGTCACATGAATTGTTGCAGGCCAAGGGTGCCACTCACTTTGCCTTGTCACATACCTGCCAAAGCCATCCTCCGGACAGGTAGTCCCTTCAGGTGGCCCCATGTAGAGAATCAAGTGCTGTATGTTGGCACCAGGAAATGCTGGTAAGATCCAATATGGTTGAGGATAGTGAGGGGTTGAAAGAGGTACAAGTAATCTCTGGAGGTGCCTCTGCTACCTGTAGCCAGAACCCTAGAATGAAGAAAGGATTCTTTAATCGGGAATGTCATGTATAGTAAATGAGATTGAATACATTGTGGTTGGAGTTGTTCTCCAGAAAGACCATGAGAGTGGTGGGGGAAGTATGCACAGGGAAAGGCCGTACAGGGATGGGGAGTCAGGGCAAGGGAATTGGGCAACATGGTCTCATACCTCACAGGATTTCTATTCCCACTGGAAAGCAGGTTGTTCATGAAACCCCAACTGTGCACTGGGTGATAAACTTTAGATTCTGAAAGCCATTCCTTAATAACTTCCTGCAGGGGTCAGGTTGTAGTCCTCAGGCACTTCGGTTTATGTACATGAAATAGCATTGCCCTTGGATCATTTTATCTAAACAAGATGCTAATATTGCCCTTCAGGATACAGGGAAACTGGGATTGTGCAGATGGAGCACAACAGGAATTTGAAATTGCAAGTATAAAAGCTGTTAGCTACCATTGCTCTTGTTTCCCAACCCACACAATGGATGGAGGGGGCTATTGGGTCCTACTTGCCTCCATTGTTGCACATTGGCTTTCTCTGAGCCTCAGAACAGGACACTTGATTTCTTGCAGGCAGTCCTTCTGCACTAATCCCCACAACAAAAAGCTTTCCATGTACCTCATGTCATGGGTTGACTTGGCCTTGCCAGATTCTGTGGGTGTTTGATCGAATTGTATCCGTGAGGTGGGGAAATCTTCAGTAAGAGCCTGTGTCCGTATTTAAGTCACAAACCCCTCTGTTCGTAACGCCCAAGTTTGGCACACAGCTTGTTGATGAAGGGGTTCTTCACTGTCTTAGTGGAGCTTTAAATTTGCGTAGGACTGACTGCTCCCCCAGTGAGCAGTCCTGAACACATACCTTTTGTTGCTCGCTCCACAGACTCATGGAGCAGTGGCAACGGATTTGCTGTTTCTTTCCCCGGTCCTCCCCCCACCTCCACGGAGGAGTGGCACACCGCCGGCTGGCGCTCTCAGGGGTTCCTCAGACGTTCCTCCTGCATGTTGTCTCTCTCCTCCTTTAGTCCTCTTCCACCAATCCCAACTCTGCTGGCGTTCTCTCCCCCACGCGCTGAGTATGCTGCTCTCCTCCAATCAGGGGCAGGATCAGCTCCTGCAGCTTGTTAGTCAAATTGGTGAGGCAGCTGTGTGGAAGTTTACTCCCTCAGCACCATATGGTGGGAGATCAGATGCATAGTTAGTCTTAAATAATCTCAGTGGTCTAGTCCAGTCTCGGTAGTTTCAGTACTTATTTGTCCATAGTCTCAGTACTTATTTGTCTCCTGGGCACCCTGCCATGTTGGAGACGGGCCCTGCTCCACACACCTATGAAGCCTAAGATTGGCGTTCAAGATGAGGTTATAATGCTGGGAACTCCTTGTTCTGTCCAGCTGTACTGTATAAAAACAGGCTAGTCAGCCTGCTGTTGAGTAGGTAAATACATCACATGCATAATTAACCGTCAGATAGGTATGCCAGGAAGGGGGATCTCAAGTGGAGGTGTCGGGATGCTTACCAGGGCACTGAGAGGGGACCAAGCCCATGGACGGGAAGGAAATGAAGTAGGATGGACATAAGGAACAGCATAGGCAGTCTCCATAGGCAATCCTGAGCAGTTGTATCGGAGGTTGTGCAACCAAGAACACCACTCAAAGCTATCCCGAGTTTGAGAGGTGCAGATTGGGCTGCTTAGGTTGCAGAGTTAGTGGATGCTGGCTTCCTGGTAAGGGCTCTGTTCAGCTGAACGAAGCCCTGGAGACCCTCACAGCTGAACTCAGTAGCTTGGATAATAAGTGCCTCACTGTTGAAAGAGGTAATGGATGATGTATGCAAATCTCCACTAGGACAATAAAATGGTGTACGGTGAAAATGAAATTCAACTATCAGCCACTCTAAAAAGTTGCATATGTTGGAGTCATAATGGGGATGAGGTGAACAAATACTGGTAAAGAAGTACTACTTGCTGTGCACTGTACTTCCTTGACACTGCCTCATACAGCAAACTTCAGATCCCCTGAATCTTACAAACTCAAATAGTCGTATCTGCATCCTGACAATGGACCATAGCTTCTCATACTGTCTCGCCTATTTCACTGACCACTACTAGTGTTCCTTCACTGTCTTCTGGCTTGTTTGTGCAGAGGCTTGCTATGAGTAGCCTAAGTTCCCATGGGTCTTCATTCTTCTGCTTTGAGGCCCAGTGTATTCGTGTTAACTGTTCATAGGAACATGGTGTTTCTGGAACTGAAAATAGCAATCACATTGTATCAACTCAAATGTTGAACTATCCAAGGCAGGGGATTCATAAGGAAAACTAGGTGATGAAGTTGTCCTTAGTCATGTTTTTCCTTTATCGAGATTGAGAACCACTGGATTGTGCTCTCCAACCACATAAGTCTGAGTCAGGTGCTAGAGTAAAGCTTATTACAGAGTGAAAAAACTAAGTTGCTAAAAATACTAAGTTGACTTCCATGGCGGAGACTTAACAGGTCAACAAAGGATTGTCTGAACTGATGACACTGAACGTGACTGTGCTCTCCTGTTGGTGATCTGGCAGGGAAAACCAAGAGGTGCTCCTGATGGTCTATCCATGTTGCGTGTGAAACCTGTGAAAGTATCCTATGAGGTGAGGCAACTTTCGATGTGAAGGTGGAGTGTCTAGGACAGCATCACCACTGTGACTCGGCTGTGGTTGCTGGGCAGTTGTCCTCATCTTAAAATTGCATGATAGGGTCTGATAACATAATGCAGCATTTCTCTGTCCGATAAATGCGTAGGGGATGTTCCTGGGCACCAGCAAGGGAATGGAGCATGAGTCCTTCAGTACCAGCTGTTCTGAGTTCATTTACTTATGCCTGCAGGCAAGCTGCACAATCTCACTTATATTCAGTCTCGTTAATTACCTGGGTTATTGGGGACCCTTAGGTGTGGCCAGTAACCAACAAATACTAGCACAGGCCATGAAGGGCAAATGTTGGCTTTTTCGTCACTTTGTTCTCATGTCTCAAACTGTTTCCAGTTATGATGCCATAATCTACATGGTTCTGGCACCACAGTGTGGGTTACCAGGCTAGGTGGTTTGCGTTGTATCTGGTGTAAGACACAGGCTTGGTTAGAACTTAGGACTGTGAAAAGTTGAGGCAGGTAAGAAAATGGACAGGTTTAAAAATGGTTGGGGCCCTTCTGCCAGGACCTTGAGCCAGGGTCTGGGCAAAATGAGAGCTCTTGGGTTGAGCTGGGTCATATGAGAAACAAATGTTGGGACAAGATTGTGCAAAAACTTAAGGGAAGCCTCTTTGAAGCCCCACCTTCAATTGGTTTAGATGAATTGGGTTGTACTTGAGGAGCTCATCTAAAATAAGATGGGAATGGTTGGAATTCTAAATATCAACATTGGGGCAATCAAGCAAAGAGCTCGTTAGTGGAAACTGGAGTGCTGCAATGATCGTTGGTATGGACACTGGGAGAAATCTACTGAAGTACTCCAGTGTCCTTAAGAGGCAGGTATTTAATGAGGGTTAAGGAGTTTGAGGTTAGATCTAGCTTTATGGCTAGTGATATGGTTAACCTTTAAGCAGTTCAAGTAGAAGTCTAAACATGTTTATCACTGCCTGGGAATGCTGGAGCCTGTAGGGGGAAACATGAAACCTGGCTAGGGTAAGCCTCTGCCTGTCGTGCTGGCATTCCACGTGGGTGCCAGTTAGTGTCCAAGCTATTCATCTTTCGAGTTCTCTGCTTTACAGCCTGGCAAAAATGGCACATGTTTGGGCCCCTGTGCCCATGTGGGAGACCTGAGGAGGCTCCTGGCTTTGGATTGGCCAAGCTCCACTGTTGGGGCCACTTAGGGAGTGTCTTTCCGTCTGCCTCTAACTCCGCCTGTCAAGGCTACAGAAGTATACCCTCCCAAGCAGAACAGGAGGAAGTTAGAATGCTTATGTGGCAGTGAAGTGCTGCAAGTTTGGGTATGGCTTTAGTCTTAGAATGAAAGCTGCTTAAGAAACGTTCCATGTCAAGCAGAAGGTGGTCACCTTACCCTTGCCATAGCCTATCAGCTGGGACAAAGTCATAATGTACTCCCCATGTATATCTGAGTGAAGACTCTGGCCATCAGGTATTTGAGAAATACTTCGTATGTTTTGGAGCTTTTCAAGATGTTAAAGTCATCTTTTGTCCAAGGCGTGGATCCTGATAGCTTTTGGATAGCACTGGGGTGAGGTTCAGTATAGTGAGGAGCTCCTAGTAACAACCTATGAGCATTGGAAATTCTATTATGTCTAAGTTCCACATGTTAGAAATTGCAACTCGTCAAGATTTCTTTAGTCAAGGCATGTTGTCACATAGGGAGCCATGCATAAAATATTTCGATTACTGTGTGCCCTCAATGTATTACAACATGTTAATTGGGTATTCCCTTTGGGGCCAGCGTGCAGGAGTACATTCCCCTTGGTATTTCCTGGGGTTTTTGCCCCAGCTTGCTAAACAGAACCATTTCGGTGTGATTCTCGATGGTGTTAGCAAAAATGAATCGCATCTCTGAACTGAATATTTTTTAGTAGACCAACAATCAAACTCAATTTTTTAATTTTTGTAGGCCTCTTGGTTTTCATTAGGTAGGACAAGCCTGAAGTAAAGTCAAGTCTAGGTAGGGTTTTTTACTTGAAGCTTGGGTGAGCAAGGTGCCCTAAAGTCTATACTGTGAGTTCAGGAAACCTCAATTACTTGCACGGGAATGAACGTGGAATAGACACATTTGCCTGTAGCTCGGTGTTCCTTTATCCTTGATCCTATTCAGCTGTGGGTCTGGCTATATTCAGAATAACTATACCTATTTCCATACTTGCCTGTCCATGATGGCTGTGATTGGCTTGGTAATGCGCATGCGCCCCTAAAAGCCAAGGAGATACTATTGGAAAGAAACTTCCACTTTGGGAATTAACGGAGAAGTACTTTAGACTGAGGTAGAGAGCCCTTACTGTTACACTTTGGAAATTTTTATTAAAAGTTAAACTCTGGGATTACAGCAGCTTTTCCCCCCATAACCTCCCTCCCACCCGCAACCATCCCATCTCCCACTCCTCCCATCCCATTCACATAAAGATTCATTTTCTTTGACAGGCAGAGTGGACAGAGAAAGGTCTTCCTTTTGCCGTTGGTTCACCCTCCAATGGCCGGCGCGCTGCGGCTGGCGCACCGCACTGATCTGATGGCAGGAACCAGGTACTTATCCTGGTCTCCCATGGGGTGCAGGGCCCAAGCACTTGGGCCATCCTCCACTGCACTCCTGGGCCACAGCAGAGAGCTGGCCTGAAAGTGGGGCAACCGGGACAGAATCCGGCGCCCTGACCAGGACTAGAATCTGGTGTGCCGGCGCCACAAGGTGGAGGATTGGCCTACTGAGCCGCGGTGCCGGCCAAGATTCACTTTCAATTATCTTTATATACAGAAGATTGATTTAGTATAAAGATCTCATCAGTTTGCACCCAGAGTACTGTTTGAGTAGTAGCTTTACCATTCACCTAGTACAGTACATTAAAGACCCTACATGGGGAGTAGGTGCACAGTGACTCCTGTTGACTTAAATTGACACTCTTGTTGATGGCTTCAGTCACCCAAGGTTCTTGTCATGAGCTGCCAAGGCTATGAAAGCCTCTTGTTTGCCAACTCTGATCTTAGACAAAGCCATAGTCAAAGTGGAAGTTCTCTCCTCCCTTCAGAGAAAGGTTACCTCCTCCTTTGGCCTGTTCTTCCCACTGGAATCTTGCTAGTAGATCTTTCATAGGTTTTTTTTTTTCCTTTTTGCCACAGTGTCTTGGCTTTCTATGCCCTGAAATGTGCTAATGGGCTCTTCAGCCAGATCCGAATGCCTTAGGGGCTGATTCTGAGGCCAGAGTGCTGTTGAGGGTATCTGCCATTCTATGTATCTGCTGTGTATCCTGCTTCCCATGTTGGATCATTCTCTACTTTATCAGTATTAGACATCAGTGTTTGTGATCGCTTTGACACTTAACCCTATCATCATGATCAATTGTGAACTGAAACTGATCACTTGGACTAGTGATGACATTGGTGCATGCCACCTTGATGGGATTGAATTGGAATCCCCCAGCACATTTCTAGCACTACCATTAGGGGTAAGTCGGCATGTACCAAACTGTACATCACCCTCTTACTCCCACTCTTATTTTTAACATGGATCATTTTTCAGTTAATACCATTGAACTCTTTAGTTCAGTTATTCTTAGGCATTTAAGTAGAACAAAATACTTAAAAGGAACAAAATAGTTGTTCCTTGACAGTCAGGACAAGGGAGAACCCTTACTATTCTAAAGGGAGTATCTAGAATTTTTTTGCCTACAAGGTGGCTGTGAGTGATGGACTTGGATAGTGAACCCTGATAGAATGGAGGATAGAGAATACATTTAGTTATCAGTGAATTTCGGTCTCTGGAACCAGCCTCATTGGCTTTGGTCAGTTTAGTCTGGAAGTGTACACAACTCATTACCTCAATCAGGAATGGAGTATCTTCATTTGTCCTCATTCAGGGTTCTAAAACTCATACAGATCTGTAGGTTAAATTTATTCAAGTACTTTGCTTTTTCATTGTCCAGCATTTTCATTGTTAGAACCAACTTGCTATTGACTAAATTTGGAGTTGAGCAGCTCTTGGTTTTTACTACTTAAGTTTGCTTTGAAGTTTCCAAGATGAAGTGTGAAACTTGAATTGGAATGTTGTGATGGAAAATGGGACAATGAAACTGAACTGGAAATTTATTAAAGTACAACTTTTGAATTATAGTGGCTTTCCCCCCCTATAACCTCATGCCCGCCCACAACCCTCCAGTCTCCCTCTCATCCCACTCTTCATCAAGATTCATTTTCAATTATATACAGAAGATCAATTTAGCATATGCTAAGTAAAGCTTTCAACAGTTGCACCCACACAGAAACAGTGTAAAGTACTGTGCTAGTTACGCCATTAATTCACATAGTACAACACATTGAGGACAGAGATCCTGCATGGGGAGTAAATGCACAGTGACTCCTGTTGACTTAAATTGACACTCTTGATGGCATCAGTGATCACCTGAGGCTCTTGTCATGAGCTGCCAAGGCTATGGAAGCCTTTTGAGTTCACAAACTCCAATCTTATTTAGACAGGGCCAGAGTTGAAATGGAAGTTCTCTCCTCCCTTCAGAGAGGTACCTCCTTTTGGCCCATTCTTTCTGCTAGGATCTCAAGTGGGATACACAGCAGACTCATAGAATGGCAGATGTCCTAAACACTCTTGCCTCAAAATCAGCCCCTAAGGCATTCGGATCTGGCTAAAAAGCCCATGAGTTTCTCAGGCATGTAAAGCCAGGACACTGTGGCAAGGAAATAACTTCCCGTGACTCTTCTAAGTTAATGTAAAGGCCACTTTTAAAGATGAATGATGTGAAACTGACCCGATACAGCAGACTAACAAATGAGAAGTGCTAGGAAGTTGCCACTATTCCCGAATTCTGTCCAGAAATAACACAAGCAGGAAACGTTAAATCCTGTAGGGTTATGGGGATGTCCCCCCGGGTTTATTCCAAGTTATTGCTGAGGGAGAAGGTTAAGCCTGTGACTATAAAGAAAACAAAGTATGTCATTGTAAACTAAATGGCTAGGTGAGAAAGATCTGTTTTGTGTTTTTCTGCCGAAGTTAACAGTCCTCTTTGTTGGTAGATTGCCCCATGTACATGCACCGTGGCGAAGGCATAACAGCTGTTGGTATGTTTGCCCTTTTCCCCTCATCCAGTTCTAATACCTTTGTTAACGTGATTAGCTCGGCTTTTTGGACTGAGGTTCTTTCTGGCAAGCTTACTGCCCAGATGGTTTTTGTGGCACTAACTACCGCTGCCCTGGCCCACTGCTTACCGTCTAGGAGAAAACTGCTCCTGTCCGTGAACCAGCTTACCTCTGGGTTAGTATGGCTGATCGGTTAGGTCTCGGTGAATACCGGCCTCTTCAGCCAAGATATCCTGGCAAGAGTGGAGGACGGGGTCCAGTCTCGTCCGGAAGTAAGGTAGCGGGGGTTCAAGACAGTTGAACCGAAAGTAACCCGATCTTTATCCAATAGAATACTCTGGTAGTGGGTGATGTGGGCGTTTGAGAGCCACCTATTGGGCGGTTGCCTTATGACACTCCCTAACGAATGCAGAGCTATGATAGTCAGCTTCTGTCCTAGAGGCAGTTTATCTGCAGCCTTAGTCAATAGGGCAGCTGCTGCAATAGCTTTTAGGCATTAGGGCCACCCGCTCGCAACTGAATCCAAGCGCTTGGACAGATAAGCTACCGGCCGTTTCCAGGGCCCCAGGGTCTGGTTGAGGACACCCCTGGCCACTCCTTTTCATTCTTTGATGAAAAGGGTGAAAGGTTTTTTCAACATTTGGCAAGGTTAGGGCAGGTGCCGAGAGCAGTGCCTGTTTGATGCCATCAAAGGCCTGCTGTTGTTTCGGTCCCCACACAAAGTCTTTGTCCCCTTTGAGCAGTGGGTAGAGTGGAGAGGCCAAAAAGAGGCAAACCCCGGTGTCCATAGTCTACAGAACCCGGCCGTCCCCAGAAATTCCCGAAGTTGTTTTTGAGTAGTGGGGACGGGAATCTGAGTCTTTTTGCGGGCCTCTGTTAGCCAGCACTTTACATTTTTAAGAGTGTATCCCAAGAAAGTGACTTCCCGCCTGCACAATTGGGCCTTCTTTGCAGAAGCCCGGTCCCCTAGTTGGGCCAATTCCTACAGCAGGGACCGTGTGCTGTACTCACGTTCTTGAGTTGCAGTAGCCAGAAGCAAGTCATCTACATACTGCAATGTTACCTCTGGATGGTTGCTTCGGAAATGGCTTAGGTCCTGGTGGAGTGCTTCATCGAATATGGTGGGTGAATTTTTGAAACCCTGCGGTAACTGTGTCCAGGCCAATTGTCCCAATATTCCCTCCTCGGGATCCAGCCACTCGAAGGCAAACAATGGTTGACTGCATGCAATCGCAAACAAGAAAGCATCTTTTAAATCCAACAGAGTACCAGGTACGCTCAGGGCTGAGGGTACTCAGCAAGTTGTAGGGGTTAGGCACAGTAGGGTGAATGTCTTGAACCCTGCTGTTTACTTCCCTTAAGTCCTGTACTGGGCGATAATCTTGTGTCCCAGGCTTTCTGACTAGCAGCAGTGGTGTATTCCAAGCCAAATGACAGGGCTTTAGGACTCCTAGGGAAAGTAGTCTTATGTGAGGCCAAATTCCTTCTCTGGCTTCTCTGCTTATATAGGGTACTGTCTAACACGTATAGGGACGGTGCTGGTTTTTAAGGTGAGCACTACTGGGTTGACAGGTAGCTAGCCCCAGTCCTGCTGTTTCCGCCCAGGAATTGGGATAATTGGTGAGCCAAGACGATTTCTGATCCCTGCGTCTTTTTTCATGGAGTCGATATTCATCTTCTATTGACATGGACAGTATAGTAGCCACTGGAGTGTCTACCATGGGGTTTAGGAATTCTACCGTGGTCCGGTAGGTTCGAAAGTTATTCGAGCCTTTAGTTTGGTAAGCAGGTCTCTTCCCATTAAAGGGGCCGGACAGTCAGGAATTAGCAGAAAAGAGTGACCATTACCCTTTCCCAGGTCCATAGTCTGTTTTGTAGTCCATGCTCGGTACCTGCTGCCATTGGCTCCCCTTATCAAAGATCTTTTACTGGATAAGGGACCCAACGGGGTCTACAGGGCGGAGTAAACTGCCCCAGTGTCTATTTCAAAGTTGATGGGAGTTCCCTCGACATTAAAATTTACCCTGAGCTCAGGGAGGGGATCTGAGCCCCGTCGCCCCTAATCTTCCTCCTCGAGGGCAAGGATCATTGGTTTGGTTGGAGTGGTCTTTTTTGGGACATTCTTTTGCCCAGTGTCCCTTGTTTTTGCAGTAAGGACATTGATCTGGGTCCAGGGGCAGACGGTGCCGCGGGCCCAGGTTATTTCCCTTTCTGTCTCCCTTGCCATGAGCTCCTGTTTCATCTACTGCAGCCAGGATTTGTTAGCTGTTTCGTTTTTTATCCCTAATGTTTTCCCATTCCTCCCTTTCCTCTTTTCTCTGTTCCTTTTCTTCCTCCATCTCCCTCTTGTCTGCCTCCTTAACCAGGTCTTGCAGGGTTAAATCCTGTAGCCCCTCTCTAAACACTGTAGTTTATGGCATATGTCTGGGGCTGACTGGCTGATGAAGGCCATAGTTCCTGATGCCCACTGCTCCTCAGACTGAGTATCAAAGGGTGTATATCTCCGGTAGGCTTCCATTAGTCTAAAAAGACTGAGGGAGAGAGGGTCCCTGTACTACTTCCCTTACCTTAGCCAAATTAGTGGGCCTTCGGGCCGCCACACGGAGACCCACCACTAGAGACTGGCGATAGGTGGACAGATGCTCCCTACCTTCACGTGTATTAGGGTCCCAGTTGGGTCGGCACAAGGGAAACAAGTAATCAATTATGTTCTGGAGCTGAGTTGGTCACCCATCTTGTCCAGGAACATTTTTCCGGGCTTCCAGCAGTATCCAATCCCTCTCCTCAGTGGTAAAGAGGGTGTTCAGTAATTGCTGACAGTCATCCCGAGTCGGTTGGTGGGAGAACATCAGTAACTCAAAGACCTGTGAGAAGCGAGGGGTCTTCAGAGAAAGAGGGATTATTTTTCCAGTTACGTAGGTCGGGTGATAACAGCCAATACTGTAACGCCTGCATCTCCTCCCCCTGGCCATCATCCACCATAGGCCCGTATGGTCAGAGAGGGAGGGTCACAACCACCTCTTGAGAGCTCTGCGCCCTCTGGTTTCGGGTCCCCTGGGCAGGCCCTCCCTCCAGGGATAACGGGGGTGAGGAGGAGGGGGAAGCAGATGGGGAAACAGAAGATGGGGTGAGTCCGGGGAGGGTAGGGGAGCATTTAAGGGTACAGGGTGTGAGGGTTGAGTGGAAGGATAAGGAGGAGGGGAATCCAAGACAATCAGATCCATCTGGGATTCAGGCAAAACAGGTGGTGCCGGTGATAGGAGGACATCTTCACGGGAAGCACAACAGCCGACATCGGAGCCTGAGAAGTAGGGGTGGGTGGTAGGAAGGGTCTTACCCAGTCAGGTGGAATTTCAGAGGTCCTGCCAGGGACCAGGGTTGCTGGTCTAGGTGGCCATGTCGGCCGGGCTGAAAAATGGCCTCTTTTACTTGACGAATGAGTGGCAAATGGAACGAGCCTTCTGGAGGCCATTCTACTCCAAGAGTGGGCCATTTGGAATTACAAAAAGACTGCCATTTGGACTTCTTAACAGATTATGAGCTCATTTGTGCACTTCAGACCAATGAACCAAAGTGAGGGACAAGGGCATAGACAGTTTGACCCATGTTAGTAGACAACAAGATATACACGAATAAAGAGACACAGGAAAAGATCAACATACAGCGACCAGTCAGTGTCTATAAAAACCCTAAAATGGTGCACTGGCTGTAGTGACTGAGCTGGCAACACATTGACTGACTCAGTCTACCTGATAGGAAGCCCCTGGGTGTCCCCAGTCTTCCTTCCCTCCTGGGGCGTCCCCAGGGCCGTGGCCTGTGGCTCCCCGGCACGTCTGCCAGCCACAGCTGGGGAGAGCTCACGCTCATGCCCGACAGCCACCTTTGCCAGCCATAACAACCTGAACTGACCTGGAACGTTCCCAAGATAGGCGCCATTACTTACCCCGAGAGGTATCCGTTGGAGGCATCCACAGGCAGCAGAGAATCTTGGTGGGACCTCCAAATGTTAGGGTCGAGCAGTGTCTGCTGCCAAAGGAACGACTCCAAGAGACACTCTCATGCAATCAGCAAAGGGTTTATTCAGACCAGCATGCTTGGGCTCTCTGAATGCACAGGAATAGAGCAGCCCCAAGGAGTTGAGGGTCAGGGTTTTTATAGGGTTTTCAGAGACATTCTATACATCATGGTACCATCTAGCAAATCATCTCATCCCACGGGAAATTCAAAGGACATCTCCTAGAACTGATTAGTGTGCATCCAGTGGCGGGAATGGACCTACTAAAGGCAGTTAGATGGCTTTGGGGTTGATGCCTTTTGAATTGATTGGCCAAAGCATAGGGTCCGAACTGATGGGCTGTACATGCCAAACTGCAGGGTCTCAGGTAGCTATCAATCGCCTTACCTGCCCTGAGAAGACACCAGGAACTCTAGGTATGTTATCTGTTAATTGGCTGTTGCTAGGAGAGTTTATCACAAGGGGAGTTCATTTAGTTTACACAAGTAGTGGGTCAAGACATAGGTCACGTAGTTTTGGTTCCTTATCTGCACGGCTGCACCTGGAGCACATAGTTTTGGCTTAGGCTTGTAACTAAGTTTTAACCCTTCACTTGCTGAGTTGTCACTGCTTATCCAGGGGATGAAAGTCCCTCACTGACCTAGGGATTTTGTGTAAGGAACCAGCGGATTGCCATCCATCATTGGCAGTGGCTGGAGTCACTGTATGACCCATGATTTGTGAGAAACTGTCAAAATCTGAAAGGCCATTCTGACAGTTAAAGTAAGCATAATTTGGAAAAAGGATAGGCTCCTTCAGAAAAGCAAAGTGCTTCCTACTCTTTTCACTGAAATTGAACCATTTAGCTTAAACATAAACCTTATAGCTCTTTACAGACATTAAACACAGCAGTTGTCCTTAGAGCACATGCAGTGACTATCAGTTTTGGGTTAGTCAGCTGTTCATGACAATTATCACCTAGGTAACAGACCTGTAAAGTGGCTGTCTAACCAGGTAGGTGGCATAAGCTATGCTATGTTGCTGAAAACAATGGTTTCCTTAAAGCAATGTCATAGGACATAGCAAAATTTTCCATTATGGTGGAAGAGCTTAGTAGGTATTCGTCCTGTCTATAGAAAACCTCAGAATTAGGTAACACATACCAGCTAGAAAAGACAATAGCCTTACTATCTCCCTAAGGAAGTATATTATAAAGGCAAGAATTGTACATAGTGCTCTCTGAGAAGGTATCTTTTGGGTTTGTCAAGTGGTCCAGCAGATTGAATTATCCACTGTACCTGTGAGGACTCAAGATGTTAAGGTTTAACTTCTCAGCCTTCTGGGCTGAAGTGCTGGGTAGCAACCACTGAGCTTCCACTTCAGTGAGACCCACTATGTTATATCATGCTCTTCTAACCCCTTCATTTGTGAAAATTCTGCCATCCATGAGCCATTTAACGTCTGGGCTTTTCAGAAGTTCACCTACTGGAATAGACCTATGGTCTGCACACAAGAATGACCTAGCTTTTTGACTCAGATATATCAGGAAA